ATTAATTTAAAGATTTCTGAAGATAAATAAGAAAATTCTGAAGATTTGTCGTTTCAATCATCTGGCAGTACTGTTATAGTGTTTGATTCAATTTTTAGCTTTACAACTATCATTTACTCTAAAGGTAAATACTTTTCTATAATTTAATGTTAACATTATTTCAATATATTGAAAAAAGTTATTTGATATAATTTACATTCAATTGAATTTTATTTTTATAAATTTCTTAATGCAGAATATTTAGTTTTTTAACTTTTTAATAAATTTTTAACTTGCAAAACTCTAAATAATGTAATTGTTAAAAATATAATATTTATTTTTCATAATTTAAAATTATTAATTATTTTCATAATAATTTAAAATAATTACTATATTATTAAAGACTACAACATAAATTTAAATTATCAAAGTATATTTTATAAAATAGTAATTTAATACAAGTTTTATATTTATATTTTTTATTACATAAAAATATTGTCTAATGTCATGTTTATTTTATGAACTTTTAACGTGTCTTAATTTTCATATGTTTTTAATTAATACGTGATTTATAGAATATTCAACAAATCAATGAAAATATATTGTCAATTTTTTCAATTAAAAATATATTACATCAAATATCTATTCCCAATATTTAAATAATGTTAACATTAAATTATGGACACATACCTGCCGAGTAAATAATAATTATAAAGTTAAAAATTCAATTAAACAACCAATATATAGAATTAAAATGTAGCAAGTTATAGTTTGTATTTATACTATAGATATTTTGTTTTCCAAAGAAATTAGAATTAAAAGTTGTTAACTTTATTATTTTTCAATTAATTTAATTTTTTGCAGTTATGGTAGTTTCAAAAGATACGTAATTTTTTGTTTAAAAAGCTAAATGAATAATTATTTTTTTAATTTTTGGAATAATTAAAATTTTCGTAATCAAAATTATTTTGAAAATAAAAGTATAAAATATGTAACAATTTTTGCGAGATTCAATTTTCTTCGTACAACATGAAAGTTTAACAGCAGTAATAGTATTTTAACAAAATTTATAGGATTCACTTAAAATTCGTTTCTAATACGTTAAATATGACATTAAAATTTAGAAATTCAAAATAGAACTTCCATTTGTCTGACTTTCTTCTAATTTATCGGACTCAGTGATTTCTGGGGTGAATTTGGTAAAGTTCTAAAATGATTAATTTCTATGTTGAATTCGTTATTTTGAATTTAGAAAATCTGATGTTAATTTAATTATTTTTTCGTTATGCACGACAAAAAACATTTACCTGGATAAACTACAGATTTCACTTTATTAGCGAAATTTTTCAGTGCTTCAATTAATACTTTAAAAAGTATATTTAAATTAAAATGGCTTTATATTGTTTAAAATAAGCAATGTAAAAGATAAAATTTGCTCAAAAAATAATTTTTCACCTCCTGCTGGTTACCGGCTGTGGCTATTTTTTTATTAATTGTGAATTAAATTAATTTTTATGACCCAGATACTAATTGGAATTGTTCTAGCATGGTGGCCACTAAAAACAGTCAAAAAATTTCCCTGACTTTTTCCCGACTTTCCCTGACCAATATTCTGGGTGTTTTTAACTTGGTTTGTAATGAACAATAATTTAAATAAGAAATATATCTCTCAAATTATTATTAATAACTACCATTCATTTCAAACAGTTGAGAAGGATGTTTTAAGGATTTTTGAATCAATTTGTAGAAGTAGATAAAATTCTTTATTTTTAAAATTAAATCTTTAATCTTAAAGTAGCTGAGACTGCGGCTAAAACTTAAATTTTGAAAAGATGTTTTTTAGTCAATAAATCCGTTTAGATGCAAAAATATATAAATAGATCAATCTTGTATAGGCCAATTGTCCTCACCAACATTTAATAAAAAAGCTTCTAATATTTTAGCGTAAAATAAATGTTTTGCTCTTTTTTCAAAACTTTGATTTTGTAACATTTAACAATTATAAATTTAATAAACTAAAATTTATTTATAAATAAAAAACAAAATTATGGGTTTAATTGTCGTGGGCGGTTTCGTTTTTCGGCCGTGTACTTGCCTAATGACATAAATACACTGAAAAAAATTATTTGATTCAATTAATTCGAATTATTTGCAAAAATTTTATTTGGATCTAATAAATATTTATTTGCTTCAAATAACTTGAATTATTTGAATCACATTTGTTTAACTCAAATAAATCTTAATTGGATCAATTAAATAATTAATTGATTCTAATAAACGAATTTATTTAATGCAAATAATTAGTTATTTGAAACAATTTATTTATTTATTTCACTCAATTAATTGGATATTTGATATAAATAAAAATTATTTGATATTTATATCTAACTATTTCCGTTAGAAAGATAATGCAATTTGACTGTTTTGGCTGTTTAATATTTAGCCCTAGTCTCCCTTATATAAATTTTTTTTTCTTTTTATAATCTTTACAATTTCCCTGACTAATTAAAAAATTCCCTGACTTTTCCCTGACCAGTGGCCACCATGTCTAGCCATAGTTCAGGTCCAGTAATGTAAATTCTTTTTAAATTGAGACCATTAAGTGAAAGTATTTGAATTTAAAAAAAATTAGAAGTTCGAAGTTCTTAAATCTTTTTTGTAAACTTTAAAGTTTCAAAATAATATAAAATGAAAATTTAATTCTCTATAATTGTTAACTTTTTCCACTTTTAATTATTTCAAACTTTTTGTTAGGTAATAATAATTATTTCTTTAAACATTTTTTAAAATAAAATGGAGTTTAAATTGTTTAAAATAAGCAGTTTGACACAACATTCCCGCGCGCTTGCGCGCGGATAGTTTTGCTAGTATTACAAAATTTTTTGGAATTAGGTTTAAGAATTTAAATTTAACATATAAATTCAGTACAAAAATGAAAAATTTTGAAAAATCTCAATTTTTATTTATATTAAAAAAAATTTCTGTCCAAAATGATAGTTTTTAATAAAATATATACAATTTTAATATTTATAGATTAAAAAACAAACCTAATAATAATTTAGAAACACAAAAATTTGTTTTAAATGTTCTTAAAAAATTTATAAATATTTATGTATGGATAAAAAAATTCACCTATTTTAAGGAAAAAAAGAATTTTTATTCTTTTCTTCCATAAAATAAATTAAGAGATAAATTATTTTCCTGAATAAGTGATAAAAAAAATTACAGAAAAATTAACGTGAAAAGTAACAAAAAAATAATTAAAATTTGTCATGCATCGATAATTGTAGCTAAAATAATTAAAAATAAAGATAAACTGACATTTGAATCAAATCCCAGTTAAAATTAAGATTAATTAAAAATTGGTTTACTTAAAAATTGAATTAAAATTTTAATAAAATAGAAATTTTTGGGAATTCAAAATTAAATCGAATAAAATTGAAAAAAAATGTAAATTCAGAAATATTATAAATTGAATAGAATTAAAATTTGAATAAATTATATTTTGAACTAGATTAAAATTTGGAGAAATTTAATTTTGAATTAACTGAAGCGAAGATTAATTAGTATTGAAATATTTTTAAATTTCCATCGATAAAAATTTCAGTCAAAAAATACTTTAACTAATTAAAATGAAGATTAATTGAATCTTTGAACTAAATAATTTTTCAATCGATAAAAAGTTTCGTTAAACTGAAATTTGAATCAATTTAATCAATTTTAAGGGGAGGGATTATACCGATATTTTTAACTACATAAAATAAAATCTATTTCAGAAAATACATATTTTGACTCTTTCTGAATTTTTATTTTTCTTAAAATTTTTTTTGTATCAACAAAAAAATACCATTTTAAAAAATACAGATTCAATTTTTTTCATTGAAAATTAATTATTTTTCTATCCAATTTCAAATCATTTAAGTATGGTAACTTTTTTATATTTTACAAACTAGATTGTAAACTAGAAAGATAAACAAATGAATGTTCAAATAATAAAATTAAATAACAATGGTATTTTCTTTAGTATTTTCAATTTAAATACAATATTTTTTTCTATGAAAAAATGTGTAAAAAATAGTAAAAATCAATTTTCTCATTCGGCAATTTTTTTTATATAAAATAAATATTTTCTACAAAATATTTTGCATCGTTTTCAAAATCTTCCAAAATTTTTAGGAAAAATAAAAATTAAAAAAGTGTGAAGTTGACAACGTTTACTATCAATACAATTCAGAAGGGAAAATATTTTCCTATAAGCAAATGTTTCAAAACTATTGAATAAAAACATTCTCTCTAAATTTGAATTATTAAAAATGCTGACTAATTTGAATTATTTTTGACTAACTTTTTACTATTTAATTAGTAAATTTTACTAATAAATTAGTAGAAATGGCTATTTATTAATAAAATTGACTAATAAATTAGTAGAAATTGCTATTTATTAGTAAAATTTGCTAATTAAAAAGCAAAAAGTCAGTTTCTAATTCAAATTTGTAATCATTTTTACTAATTCAAATTTAGAGAGTTTTTGCAAAGTAATAAAAATGTCTAAAGATTTATTATCTTCATTATAAAAAATATAATTTTCTTTTAATCTTAATCGTAAATATGAACTTCATCGAAGTAAAATTCTAAATATGTGAAAAAAGTCGAGTAGGTGACAACCTTCTCGCCTTTTTTCACATATTTAAATTTTGATCTGTAATCTCGCAAAGAGCGAAATTATTCAAAAATATTACAAACAACGATTAATTCAAACTAATTTCCAATTACATAACTGTACCATTTATATATAATACAAAAAGGGAAATAATTCTCTGATGACAATCGAATAGGGTGTGAGTATATATATAAACCATTTGAATCACACCCCTAAAAAAAAAGAAAAAAGAAATTGCATCCCCTATTTTGTATATATATCTCGTCTGATTTGCTGTCGAGCAATTCTGTTATTCTCTCCGATTTTTTTTTTTTGCGACTGGTCCTATATACTAATTTTACGAGCCGTTGACTCCCGATCGATGGTACGTGGCGTTTCGAGACGAGAGGAGGCTTTTCCGACACGGATCGTTGCCATTCCGGTTGACGTAATTTAACAGCGAAGCCACTGCTGCACTCGTATAATAAGATCACCGTGAGTCTACGGTGGATTTGCCACATGACTGCAAAGGCCGAAATGCAGTGAATTTTTCATTTCAACTCTCGTGATTTTGCCAATTATATAAGTCTGATGTGTAGGCGCGATTCCAGCTGGAAACTGTCCATTTTTAAGTAGAGTGAGAGAGAATGAGACGGAACAGGAACGATTGAAAATTCAACCAGACGAAAATCATTTTAAGCCCTTTTTAATTTCATTAAACAATTTCCAGGAATGCACTTTGTAGCTCTGAAAGAACAAATCAAACTGTACTCTTTTATTCCATTAATTATTCATATAATTTAAGAAGAGAAAATTCTTTTCTTTTTTTATTGCAAAAAATTTGCAATTTTGAAAACTTGTCTTTCATAAAAAAAGACTTTGATTAAAAAGTCCATTTGATAAATATAAAGTCTATCTATTTTTGCTAATTGGGGTTTTTTTCTTTGTGTTTTAGATTACGAAGCTGAAGATCGACAGTAATCCTTTTGCGAAGGGATTTCGGGATTCGTCGCGATTGACGGATTTTGAAAGGTTAGTATTTTATATAAAGTTTTATCAAAGCGGAACGAAAGAGTAGAAGGATATTTAGAAAGTAGATCTAGTGGTACCTTGATGAGAAATTACATCTTCCCAGGAGGTTCGCTTCGAGAATGTTAAGCAGAATTCAACAATACAAAGGAACTTGTTAGATTTACGCCATTCAGGACTTCATTATTGGAACTTGTCTCGGAATTTTTACCCTTTTCTTTCATATTTTTCAATAATCTTTATAATTCTTTATAATTCTTTAATATTGTTTAATTCTTTAAAATTCTTCAATAATCCTTATAATACTTTAATATTTTTTAATTTTCTTTAATATTTCTTAATATCCTCAATATACTTCAATATTTTTTAGTATTCTCAGACCTTGGATAGACTTTAAGGGACAAAAGAGTCGCTTTAGTCGATTAAAGATAGAAACAAAGTTCCCTGACTTTTCAACAAAATTTAAATTTAATTATTCAGGATTTTAATAATTTTTTTAAACAAATATTTAAATACTTGTTATTTACTTTTTTCACACGAATTAAAATTTTTTTAATTTAAATTTTATACTCTCTAAATCTGAATCAGCGAAAAAAGCGCTGTTTTAACCAGTGAACGAAGTTTTCACTGAAAAATAGTGGAATTTACTGAAGATCAGTGGATGTCACTGAAGCAATCAGTAAACTCTGCGTGTGCGCAGAAGTGTAAAATACTCGTAGCGTCATTTCTATGCAAATGTGTCACATTACGCGGAATGTTTTTTTTACATTAGTGACAAATTAATTTAAATTGGATGAAATTAGTGATTAGTGAGTAGTGATTAAAAGTAAACATTAAAGTGAGCATATTTTCTGTGGTTTCGGTGGTGAATTTAATAAATTTTCAAGTGGTTTTCCTTGAATTGGAAAAATAAATTTATAATGAAAATCTAACTCTAAATTCACAAAAATATTAGTGTTTTAAGTAATAAAAAATAATAAATCATATACCCGTAAACATTTTAGACAAATATTATTGCAAAATTTTATAATTGTTGGTTATAAATTGATTGAAAAGAAAATTAATACAGCTGCCATATTCGATAATACGTAACCGCTGATTGGACCAGCGACTATTCGCTGATTCTCAGTGGCATACTTATAGCTATTTGAATTAGCGACTATCCGCTGAGAATCAGTGAGTTTTCGCTGATTCTGATTTAGAGAGTATCCTTTAAAATTCAACTATTTCCAAACATTACAACTGCAATTCTTTCATAATTCAATTATTTTCTAGACTTTTTAACTAAACTTCTCTAAATCAATTATTTTTTTAAATACATTTCCGAAAATTCTTTAAGAATTCAATTATTTAAATAAAGAAATTCAATTTTTTAATTTTTCAAAATTAAATTATTTTCTAGACTTTTTAACTAAATTTCTCTTAATCAATTATTTTTCAAAATCATTTTCCAAAAATTCTTTGAAAATTCAATTATTTAAATAAAGAAGTTCAATTTTTAAAATTTTTCAAAAATTCAATTACTTTTTAGACTTTTCAACTAAATTTGTCTAAATAAATTATTTTTTTAAATATACATTTCCAAAAATTCTTTAAGAATTAAATTATTTACATAAGAAAATTAAATTTTTTAATTCTTTCAAAATTCAATTCTTTTCTAGACTTTTTAACTAAACTTCTCTAAATCAATTATTTTTTTTTAATACATTTCCAAAAATTCTTTAAGAATTCAATTATTTAAATAAAGAAATTAAATTTTTTAATTCTTTCAAAATTCAATTATTTTTTAGAATAATTTTTAAAATAATTGTTATTAACTCGTCAGATTTTTTTTAAATAATTAACGCTTAAAAAAAATTATAATAACAAAATTCTCAAACTCAGTTTTCTCAAAAAATTTTCAAACAATTTTTGAAAGATAGATTTTTTCATTAAAATAATATAGAATTGAAAAATTTATAAATAATTCTAATTTAGTAAAACATTTTTTAAAGTAATTGTCATTATTAAAATAATTTTTCAAAAATAATACAAAATAGTCAAGTTTTTGAAAAATTTTAGTTGCAAATCTTGAAAATAGATGATTTTTCCGAAATTTTAATAATATTTCTAAAAAGAAGTAATTTTTTCAAATTTTAATTAACGTTTCTTGAAGATAATATAATAATTTATAAAAATTGTAAGAAGAAAAGAAGAAAATTATTTTTCAATAAAAATTTCAAAATTGATTGATTTCTCTAAAATTTTAATAATAATTTTAAAAAAAGCATATTTTTAAAATGTTAATACACTTCTTTTCAAGATAATTAAAATTAAAAACATTGTAGGATGAAATTTCTAAGAATTAGTTTTTTTTAAATTTATTATTATAATGTGCTTTTTGGAAAATAATTAAATTTATCAAAAGAATTTTTGAACAATGTAAAAATCTAATCAATTTTTGGATAAATTTCAAATATAAATTTTGAAAATGTTTGATTTCTCCAAATTTTTTTTAATATTTCTAAAAAAGAAGATTTTTAAAAAATTTTAATTCATGTTTTTTTGCAGATAATTCAATTTGAAAAAATTGTGATGCAAGAATTCTGTGAATTTCGTTGTTTAAAAATATTTTACTGTGATTTTTTGAAAATAATTAAAGAATTTTTGTACTTATTAAAAAAATATTCAATTTTTTGAAGAATTCTCAATTAAAAATTTCGAAAATGATTGTTATTTACAAAGTTTTAATAATAATTCGAAATAATTAGATTTTTAAAAAATTCTAATGTTATTTTTAGCCAATATTTAGATTTTCGAATATATTTCATTGAAAATATTGAAAATAATTGAATTTTAAAACATTAATTTATAATAAAAAAATTCTAACAATTAGTTTTTTAAAAAATATTTAAATACAAATTTTTGAAGCGAATTTTCATTCACTTTTCAAATTTTTATTTTTTGAAGTTTTCTCATTAAAATTTTTAAGAATTCAATTTATTTCCAAAATTTGCTATTAAAATTCTTTAAAATTTGATTTTCAAACTTATTTAATGAAATTCCTTGAAACAAACATTTTCAACAAAAATTGTACAAAAATTTTCAATTATTTAAAAACTTTTAAATTATATATTTCGAAAATTTTATTATCTTCCAAAAATTATGGAAGAATCAGAGAAAAAATGGGAACAGAAGTTAATTCAATGTCATAACTTCGTATTTTAAAAGAAAAAGACACTTTAATTCTTAAATTGTTTTGGTGAAATCGTTTAGAATTTAATTTTCAATATTTTAAACAATTTGAAGTTGCATTGTAATAAAAATTACAATCTTCTGTCAATAAGAAACGATTTTGGTAGTTTAGTAGTAAATATTTGTTAACAAGAGTTGACAAATCTTTGTCAATATTTCTTATTGACAAAGAATTTTAATTTTTAAAATGTTTGAGTTCTCCAAAATTTTGTTAATATTTCTAAAAAAAAGTAGATTTTTAAAAAATTTTAATTCATCTTTTTTGAAGATAATTCAATTTTAAAAAATTATGATACGGGAATTCTAAAAATTTCTTTACTCAAAAATATTTTACTGTGATTTTTCGAAAATAATTAAAGAATTTTTGGACTTATTAAAAAAATATTTTCATTTTTTTTTAAGAATTTACAATTAAAAATTTTGAAAATGATTGTTATTTGCAAAATTTTAATAATAATTCTAAATAATTAGATTTTTAAAAATATTCTAATATTTTTAAACAACAGAAGTTTTAATTGTTTATAATGTTGAAAATAAAAATATTAACCCTTCCACTAAAACAAAATTTAAAATTCAATTAATCTTTTTCAGTTAAAAATATGAAATTGTGACATTTGACTAACTTTTGTTTTGACTGTCCGTTAGATTCAAGCTTAATCAAGAATCAAGAATAATTTTCGAAGAATTTGATTATTTATTTTACACACTATTAGTGTCAAAATCAGTTTCATTTTGTACCAAAAAATTTGTATTTTCTTGTCATATTTGGAAAAAGGCAAAAAAGTCGCATTTTTTTAAAATAAAACGAAAAAAGTTGTCTTTCTGGAAAATGGTCGAAAAAGACTCCAAAAAGTCATAGTGTCCAAGACTTGTATTCTTTAATATTGAGTAATTAATAATTATTAATTTTTTTTTATATTCTCTCACACAGAAATCCTGGGGAGATTAATTCTCAAACTATTTTTTTACCTAGTTTTTTTTTTATTTTTTAAAACTTTTTTTTACCCTTTTTACCCTACTTTTTTAGAATTTGAAAAACGAAAGAAATAAAAAGAATTCTCGATCTATTTTTTTTTTTTTAATATCTCCCTCTATTTCTTTTTTTCGAGAATTCCGAAAATAAAATAAAAAGAAGTCAATCATTTCGTTAAGAAGACTACGTACATAATCGAGCAGTTACCCTTTCAGGGAGACGATGGAGACAATGTTGGCGGAACAGCATTTGCAGAGGTACCCCCATCGATTTCCATTTGAGATCGATCAATTGCAAGCGGGAGCGGCAAATAATTTGAGCCTCGAGGAAAAGGCACTTTGGGCGGCACAATCACAATTATTATTGCGAGCGGCTGCAGCGGCCGCCGCTCCATATGCTCTTGTTAATCCAACACTCGTCTATCCGGGAGCGGCTTCAGCAGCGGCAGCGGCGGCCGCAGCTGCTGCCGCGAGTTCCAGTCAACAGCAACAGCAACGTCAACAATTGGGTCACTTATGGTGGGGCTCAATTGGACCGACATTATTTGCCGCTGCGCATCATCAACAACAACAGCAACAACAATTGGCGGCAACAAGTGCTCAGCAACAATCAACTGGACCTGCAGCGCCAAGACCCGTCTATCCATCGGCACTGGCACTATCGCATCATAGATTCTCGCCCTATCACACATCGCCTACTCCAAAATCATCAACCCCTGTTTTACCTTCGCCGTCGCCCTCGAGGAGAGCCACGCCTTCTCCAACTGACAGCCTCTGCCGCGAGGCTCAAGATTTATCTCCCTCGTAGTTGAAGATTTAGGGCTGAGGCTCGATTAAGGAATTTCAAGGGTTCTCCTCTCATAATCAGGACAGATGGGTCGGAATTGTTTCCTTTTTCCATATTTATAGAGAAGCAGAAAAATTTGTTAAAATTACTAAATTTTATATTACTTTTACAGTATTTTATCGTTTTTTTAAAAACAATTTTCAAAATTGTTTTTTTTATTTCGCGCTCCCAAGAAAACCTAAGAAGCAAATGAATTATTCGTTAGGTTCGTATTAGATTTATCTTCATTAAAAGATTTTTTTTTATTATTTGAATTTGAAACCAATTTTCACTGAATATTTTCGATATTAATAATCGAAATAAAAAATTAATTAATAATTAATTAAAATAATTTTTAATTAATAATTGACCCTTTTTCTGTATTTTTACTCAAAAAATTAAAAACATCAAATTTTTTTGCTTCTTAGGTACCTTTCTTCGGAGTGTGACTCAAATATTTATTTCAATTGCAAATATTTATTTTTTAATGAAAATATACATTTGTTTTAAATCTGAATATTTATTTTAAATGCGGAAATATTTATTTTTTTGAAATGGAAAAATTCTGCAAAAAATTCAAATTTATTTGTATTTTCTAGTTTTGATTGTTCGAATGAACGAAATTTTTTTCTATTTAAATATTTCCCCAAAATTACTATCAAAAAGAAAAAATATTTCAAATTAAATATTTACTTATAATTAAGAATAAATGAACGAATTTTTTTCTTCTATTTAAATATTTTTCCAAATAACTATAAAAAAAAATAAATACCTAAATAAAATTGAATATTTACTTAAGAATTAATTTTTCTAAATTAAAAACAATATTTTCCAATGATATTCAAATTTGAAAATATCTAAATAATAATCGTTATTTTGAACCTTCGAAACTTTAGTCATGAATTCAAATGAAAGAAAAATCATGAAAATATATTTTTACGATAAATTAAAATTCAAAACCTTGATGGAAAAAATTTTTGATAGTTTTCTTCAAACTATTTTAATATTCAATTTGAAAAAAATAATTTTTCATTTGATAAATATTTATTCCGAATGAAAAAATTTTTCTATTCGTATTCTAATATTTAAAAAATCTTGAAAATATTTTCAAGATACATTTTATTTCGAAAATTTCGATCGAAACAATCTTTGGTTTTTTTCTGTAACAAAATATAATTTTCTATTTAGAAAAAATAATTTTTCTTTAATAAATATTTGTTCCAAATGAAAAAGTTTTTCCATCATTCGGATTCAAATACTGAAATATTTTGAAAATGATAAATATTTGTTCTAAATGAAAAAATCCACCTATTATTCGAATTCAAATTAATTATATTATTATTATTATTCTTATTATTATTATTTAATTATTAATTCAATTATTTTTTAATTGAATATTATTAAAATTCAAAATCTGGATTGAAAAAATCTTTAATACTTTTCTTTAAACTATTTTAATATTTTATTTGAAAAAAATAATTTTTTATTAGATAAATATTTATTTCGTATGAAAAAATTCTTCTATTTGAATTCAAATAAGTGAATAATCCTGAAAACTTTTTCACGATACATTTTATTTCGAAAATCTCGATTGAAAGAATTTTTGATTTTTTTCTGTAAAAAAATTTAATTTTCTAATTTAAAACAAATAATTTTTCCTTTCAAAAATATTTATTCGAAATTAGAAAACTTATATTATTTGAATCCAAATAAATGAAATTTCCTTGAAAATATTTTCATAATAAATTAAATTTCAAAAATTTTGTTCGAAGAAAAAAGATTTTTTCTGTTAATAATTTTAATTTTCTACTTAGAACGAATAATTTTTCCTTTGATAAATATTTGATATAAATGAAAAAGTTCTTCTATTATTCGAAGAGTTTCCTATTATTTAAATGAATGAAAAATCCTTGAAAATATTTTCATGATAGATTAAATTTTAAAAGTCTTGATAGAAAAAAAAAAAAATTGTGTTAAACAATTTTAATTTTCTACTTAAAACAATTTTCCCTCTGATAAATATTTATTCCAAATGAAAAAATCCTTCTATTAGTCAAATTCAAGTGAATGAAAATTCTTTGAAATATTTTTATGAAAAATTAAATTTCCAAAGTTTTTTTTTGGAAAAAAAAAATTTTCCGAGAACAATTTTAATTTTCAACTTAGAATAAATAATTTTTCTTTTGACAAATATTTATTCTAAATGAAAAAATCCACCTATTATTCGAATTCAAATGAATGAAAAATCCTTGAAAATATTTTCATGATAAATTTCAAAAATATAGATTAAAAAAAGATTTTTTCGATAAACAATTAAAATTTTTCTATTTAAAACAAATATTTTTTCATTCGATAAATATTTATTATAAATAAAAAAAATTCTCGTATTATTCCAATTAAAATAAAAAATTCTTTAAATATTTTCAGAATTAATTTTGAAAATCCTGATTTAAATCATAAATGTGAGTAAAATTTTTGAGTAAAACTCGAATTCCGCAATGTTTGAAACACTGCATAATAGTAAAAGTAAAAAAAAAATATTTTCCATCGTTTTTTTCCTCTCGGACAATATTTCGAAATTGTTAATTATTAAATTTGTATTTTTCTTCTATTAGAAATTTGTTAAATTTTGTTTTTTCTTTCAACATTGTGTTGGCTGATTATTATTGTAGAATTGTAATTTTTATTGAAAAATTACCTCGCATAACGGCCTTAATGAGTCGTGACACAATTTTCGCCCCTCCCAAAAAATATACTTATTCAAGTATATTTCTATATCTGTAAATATTATATTTGACCCGATTCGTTTAAAATTCGGCCCCGTGAATATTATTGTACTTAAAAAAAACATAAATAAACCTATATTATAAAAGTCTCTAATTATCACGAAATCATTTAGAGTCGGCTTTAGATTTCTTGAAAAGCTTCTAATTTCTTTACAAAAAAAAAATAAAAAAAAAAAATTTATTTATAAAAAAGGTAAAAAAAATTTATTTTTTAATATTTTAAATTCTACCATAAATATTGAAATTCAAATTAAGATTTTAATATTTTAAATTATATATCTAAATTTTTCGGAAACGAAGTGAAAAAAAGTATTATATTTAAAGTAGAACGAGAATTTTATTCTAGAAGTTTAACTTCTTTTCCTTGAAACAAAAAAAGAATATTTATGTTTATATTTATATTTTACAATTATTACAAGCTTTACATTATACGAATTTTGAAAAATTCGAGAAATTTAATTTATTTAGAACAATTTATATTTAAAAAAATCTAATTTAAATGTGCCATATATGCATAAAAAATAAAAAAATATTTTCTTCTTTAAATCTATTAATGTAAATAAGTAATTTTGAATAATAGATCTCGAGCCGACTCTGCATGAAAGGAAAAAAAACGCAGGATTACGTCGATATCATTGAGTAATATTGTATATACGACCGATAGGTAATCTTGCCTCCATTTGTGTAATATAAGCTGTATATTTCATATCATGGCCTCTTGTTATCGTTATTTATGTTCTAATCGATATTCATTTCCCGAAAAGGGCACAAAATTCAATCAGAAATGAGAAAATTGTATTTACTTCCGTTTCACAATTACAAGAAAAAGAAAAAGTCCTCAATGTTTGTTAATGTATATCTAAAAAAGAAAAAAATTTATATTAATTCAATGATTATTTATTATTATTTTTCTAAAATAATTAAATTTTTTTCTAAAAATTGAATGAAATGTCTTTTGTACCCTTTTCGGGATTTGACGTTTCTTTTTATCGCTACGATGATTAGTATTAGCGTAGAACGTTATATTGTTAACGCTTGTATTGTGAAAAAAAAATCAACGCAAAAACCTATTATTGTGCGAGCTGATCCCCCTGTAAATAAACCCAATAAACTCTTATACCGAGTATAAAAAAAACCATTGTTATTGTCTTAATTTTTATGAACCATGAAACTTTTCTTTTACAGATCTTCAAATAATAAAATAAAAAAGAAAGAAAGCATTTCTTGAAATTTTCATAATTTGCCTCTAAATTAATGTTACTTAACGATTTTTCTTTGCAGTTACCAATTTTTAAGAACAAAAATTAAAATAAATAAAAATACAAAAATAATGATTATAAATTTAGGTATCTACAACTATTAATTAATATTTTATTTCAAATTTTCAAATGTTAATTTATTTTAAAACTCGAGAAACAAAACCTTTTTATTAAAAATTGTTCATGATGAAAACAAATTAGGTTTGGAAATTTTTTTTTGAAAAAAAATTCCATTCTACTATTTAAAAGTTTATTAATTATCTAGCAAATCTTATGCGCCGAATAATTAATTTATTATAATTATGCAAGTTACAAAATTTTTTATTTTCAAATATGAATTTTTGAATAATTACAGATTCAAACTTTAAATAAATTCAATTATTAACTAATTTACTAATTAATTATTCTTGTTCATTAATTTCAAAAATATTGATAATATTTTTCGGAAGAATTCAATTATTTTCATAAATAATAACATTCTTCGTAAGAATTCAAATTATTTTTTACAAATAGTAAAATTTTTTTCAAAAATTCAATTATTATTTGAAATGGTAAAATTTTTTTGCAAAAATCCAATTATTTTCAAAAATATTTCGCGAAAGAATTCAATTTTTTTCTTAATTCGATTTCAAATATTTCAAAAGAATTTAATTGTTTTCTTAATTCGATATAAAATATTTCAAAAGAATTCAATAATATTTTTCGAAAAAATTCAATTATTTTCTAAAATTTTAATAAATTTTTCGAAAAAATTCAATTATTTTCTAAAATTTTAATAAATACTTCTAAACAATTCAATTATTTTTATAAATTGTAAAATTCTTCGAAACAATTCAATTATATTTATAAATAGTAAAATTCTTTGCAAAAATTCAATTATTTTGAAAAAAATTTCACTAAAGAATTCCATTTTTTTTCTTAATTCGTTATAAAATTTTGCAAAAGAATTCAATTATTTTTTAAAATTTTAATAAAATTGAATAATTAAATGTTTAATTTCAATAATTAACAAACACGATTATCTTAAAAACTTAAAAGAAATTTTTCATAAAATTCAATTATTCTTAGAATTTTTAAAGAAACTTCATTATTTAAAAAAAATTCAAAGAAATTCTTCAAAAAGAATATTAGAATTTTCAAAAATTTTATCAAAATTCTTCACGAGAATTCAATTATTTTCCTAAATAATAAAATTCTTCGAAGGAATTCCATTATTATCAAATTTGTTGATAAAATTCTTTGCAACAATTCAATGATTTTCAATACATTAATTTGAAATTTGAAAATATTTCAAAATAAAAATTATTAAAAAATAAATTA